AGTGAAGAGATAGTCTGTAGGATGGCAGAAAATCTTTGACAGCTATTCATGGGACCAGAGATTACTATCTATAATATATAAAGAATTCAAAACAATTAAATGCAAAACAACAAATGATCTAACAAGAGCTAATGAAGTGAAAACACACCGCTCAAAAGAATTATAAACAGCCAGTAAGTACATGAAAATATTTATTAAAGATATTTATTTGGGGTGTGTGCACCCACTTTTAGAATAAAAAGAACCACTTTTGGAGTAACTTGATTGAACTGGTTCTCTCCTCTCACCGCACGGAACGCAAAGATTGGGCTCACATAGTCAGGGCTGGCAGTAGATCCCTTTCCTCCTTGAGCCATCCCAGCAGCCCAGTGCTCAGTGTCCCTAGCCATTACAGAAATGCAAACCAATGCCTCATTGAGATTTCACCTCATTGCTTTCATACTGGCTACCACAAAGAAACAAGAGACATTGGTGAGGACGCAGGGGTACGAAGAATCCTCGTACACCAATGACGAGGACTAAGTTAGTGCAGCCATCATGAAAATCAGTATGAAAGGTCCTAAAAGATGGAACTGAACTGCTATATGACCCAGCTATGCCACTTTGGAGTATCTATTTGAAGGAATTAAAATTAGCATACGATACTTTCATACTCACGAGTCTTGGGGCACTGTTCACAATAGCTGAGTTACAGAATGGGTCCTAGTGCCCGTCAACAGAGGAATGGCTGAAGAAAATGTGGAATCCATACAAAGGGAGTGTTTATTCATCCAAACTGTTACGAGCTGGGGGACTTCAGCTCCAGGTTCTTTTCAAGTACTATCTATGAGGACTCTGTGCCCTTCTCCCCAGAGAGCGATGAGTAACCAGACCAAGCAAGAGAATTGTTTTTATGATGATTCTTTACTAGCAACTTCAATATCCAATGCATCAATGGGGGTTACAATCTCAGTAGGCATGGGGGATTGATAATGGGCAACACACAGGCAATTCAATATCACAATTATCAATCCTACTAAACCTAATACATAAAACCAATTCATAACCTTAATCTAACTTATCTTAACCTTAATACAACTCAGCCATTACTTATCTATAACCTTAATACAACTTATCCATTA